TCACTAAGAGAAGTGGCTGAACAGTGGACTGCAGGTCCCCCGGAAGGGGGAGGAGCACAGTGTGTGGCACAGCCTGAGGGCTGTGTCACTGAAGAGGATGCTGCAGTCCTTGGAGAGACATGGGTCCTATAGCAAGAGTGATAGTGGTGAGGCACTACCCAAAGAAGGCGTATTACCATGCAGAGCTAATTCCCCAGACAACCAGCAGGAGGCACCACAGTGGTGAGTAAATCCCGTTACAGCCCACTTGACATCTGAATTCAAGTCATATTTCCCCAACACTCAACACAACTCAGCTCAACTTGACTGGGTAAGAAACCCATTCATTTTGCCAGATGTTAGCAGCAGTAAACTCTCTGCTGGTCAGCAAGAAAATCTTCTTGAGCTGTCTTCAGAGCATGGCCTGCAAATGAAATGTAATGTCTCCACACTAACCCACTTCTGGTGTTTAGTACAGAAATTACACTGACCTTGGGAACCAAGCTTTGGATGATCTGTGACTTTTTGGGTCAAAATATCTTTGTGAAGTCTCATTTTCTGCTATGATTGTGTAGCGGGGTGGGAGAGGGCTGCAGTGGGGGAAAAGCTAGGCTGATTGGGGGAAGCAGCCACAGGTGGGGCCACGCCCCAATCAGACCACAGTGGGCTGAGGCCAGAGACTGACACACTCTCTCTAGCAGCCTTGAGAGAGAAGGACCTGGCTGTCTGGGAATCTGAGAAGGGTATCTAGGGTGGAGCAGTGCTGGGGAAGGACAGAGGGAGCTGGGGAGCTCCAGCCTAGCAAAGCCCCAGGCTGCAGGCTGAGTTAAAGGCCCTCAAAATGGTACTAGGGCTCCAGAGGGACAGCCCAGGAATAGGCAGAGGCAGCTGGTCCAACCCCCCTTGCCGATGATGAGTGGTTTACAAACTGCCGTCCGCCCCAGGGAGTGGGGGCTAGATGATGACTGGCAGTAACCACTGAGGCAAGATGGGGATAGTGGGTTGGGGGTTCCCCTAGGAGGGGAGACCCAGAGCGAGGGGGTACTGTGGTGGGGAGAACCCCTGGGCAAAGGGCACCAGGGTCTGGGAGGGACACGGAGCCAGCGGCAGGCGAGACCCCGGCCTGCAGAGGGCGCTCTGGGCTGGAAAGAGTTAATTCCCTGGATGACCAGCAGGAGGCCCATGCCGGTGAGTCTCACCCCGCCACAGACGGCCATCAAGACACAGAGTAAGAATAGACTCAATGTGAAGAAAAACTTAATTGTTGCTGTGACTTCACTGCCTCCCAGAACGTCAAGGCTCACAAGTGAAAAACAGTCTTAAGTACAATATTTATATTCCAATCAATTTATTTGATGATATGGTAAAAATGAGAAACTAAGCAGTTTTTCAGTAATAGTGTGCTGTGACACTTGTATTTTTATGTCTGATTTTATAAGCAAGTAGTTTTTAAGTGAGGTGAAACTTGGGAGTACTCAAGACAAATCAGACTCCTGAAAGGAATACAGTAGTCTGGAAAGGTGGAGAACCTTTATATGCTTCACGAATGGTGTGGAATGGAATGGAATGCTAACTGTATCATACTGTTCAGCCACAAGGTGGTGGAATACCCTTAGATAAATCAAGAACTAAAGCAAAATCTTGCTTGACAAAATCCACGTGGGACAGAAATGTTGGGGGTTTGGCTGTATTTGTCCCAGTCAACAGTCTTAAGTAAGGGACTTGTTCCTTTAGCTATTGATATAGCTATTCATGAATGCTTCTGTCCTCCTGTAAGTTTCAGGCATTTTGTATTCCAGTTATACTGATTCCTGTACCTTTTTCATTTTTCCTTTTGTCAGGCAAGCTGGAGGTGCAAAAAATGTAGTTGGGCTTTTATGACACTAAGCACCCCTCTGTTCATTCCCGATACGCTATTGTAATAATCTTTGTACAAAATATGCCTTGTACGGTATCATTCGAAAACTAATCATTACCTGGTCATTAATATTCTTGCATGATGTATGTATGCAGAGGCTATTAAAAGTTATGGATATATGCTGGAATTATGACTAAAGTCTGTTTAAACTAGGGAAATCAGAGGGTGTTGGTAAACAGGTTACTTTAGACCAGGGGCAGCTCTATGTATTTTGCCGCCCCAAGCACGGCAGTGAGGCAGGCTTCAGCGGCGTGCCTGCGGGAGGTCCGCTGGTAATGCGGATTCGGCGGCATGCCTGCGGGAGGTCCACCAGTCCCGCACCTTCGGCATACCTGCTGCCAAATTGCCGCCGAAGCCACGGGACCGGCGGACCTCCCGCAGGCATGCCGCCAAAGGCAGCCTGACTGCCGCCCTCACGGTGACCGGCAGGCCGCTCCCTGCGGCTTGCCGGTCCAGGCACGCGCTTGGTGCGCTGGTGCCTGGAGCCGCCCCTGCTTTAGACAAAGGAATGTGTATTTGATTTGCTGACCTGCTGGATCTTCCCACAAAGACAAAGAAGGTCCATTTTTACATATTAGGTAAGCACAGCTGTTAAGCTAACAAGTGGAGGAAGAAAAAGCATAGAGCTTCCTTCACCACCAGACTCCACGTTGCCTTCCTCACTGCTTGAATAAACTTTACTTTGAGAGAGAACCTTCAGAAGAATCAATTTCAAATGTTTATTGGTCTATAAAGGCAGGGGAGCTGAACCTCAAGTGATAACCAATTGAATCAACTGTATATGATTTTACTGTACTATGAGAGCGAGGTCTTTTCTGAAAGCTAATACACACTGGTGATTAATATCACTGTGAAATGTATGTATTAACATTACATGAGGAAATATGGATACTTAATGATATTATCTTTTGAAGTCTCTGGCAAAACAGGTTCCACCCTGGACAGGGGAAAAGGCAGCTATTACCTGTCTGCTATGTAAATTAAGCATGGTGGAATCAAAACAATGGAAGCTTCCTTTACATACAGGGGGATAGCAGGACCACAGGAAGGGGAAAACAGCATGAGATCATCTTGTCTCTTGAAACAAGTTCACTGAACTTTGGAAGCTATAAGCAAGGACAGAAGCCATCTTTGGCATCCATCACTAGGCAGACATAAGGGAATAGAGCTCTTGCAAGCTGAGAAAGATGAATCCTTCACCAAAGGAGGGGCTAAAGTCTCTGGAAACTAAATATAGGTGAGAAACCTGCTTAGGCAAAGATTGTACCTTGCTAGAGTTAGCTTTAGACTTTTAAATGGGTGTTCTCACTTTTATTTTACTTGTAACCGTTTCTAACTGTATTCCTTTTACCTGGCATCACTTAACCTATGTCCTATTGTTAACAAATTTGTTTTATGTTCTTAGTTGGCTTACAGTAAGTGCTGTGTTTAAATGGGAGGGGGTATTCACCCCAGTTAGGTTAATAAGTTGATATGCTTTTGTCTCTTTAGAGGAACAAACGACCCCTATTATTTCTCTGAACTGTCCAGGAGAGGGCTGGACATTGCAGATTACACAGTTTTGGAAAAATTCAGGACTGGGATTGTGTTGGGGTTACATTGCTGATTGTAACCAAGGCTGGTGGAAGCCAGTATGGGTCTACGGGGCTATATACAGGCTGCTGAGGCCACAGCTGCTGAACCACAGATGTCTAGCACGCAGACACTCAGGGTGTAACCTGCATGCTTGTTGCCAACTGTTAGTATCCCAGGCAGGGAGTTACAGTTCAGAGTTACAGGGGAAGAGATCACACAACCCCTCACTGGTCTGGATTACCCCCTGAAACCCTCTCACAACTTTATCTCATATTCACTAGGTAGACAATGCAAACATGTATAGAGATCCTTTACCAGACTGTTCTACAAGGGAAGAATGGGACTGATGCCAGATACAGAAATAAATATACCTTGGAGAAAAAGAAAAATTCTGAACTCAGAACATATAATAAAGAAATCAGAGCAATTGAATTTTGGTAAAATAAGGAACTTCAAGACAGATATTTTATAATCTCACTGGAAGCAGTGAAAATACATGAGGATTAGTCAAAAGCTATTAGTGGACCAACATTTAGGAAGGGATCTAATAAAGATTTTGAATTCTACAGGTTGCTAGGTCTATCCTATTAAATTGGTTGAGTCCAAATAGCTTTCCTCAGATGAAAACGTGCTGTAAAATTGTAAGGCTAAAGGAAAGAATAATTCAGCTCAGCATGTATTTCAGAGCTATTCGTTATACAGAGCCTTAGCAGTGCATTTCACTTTACAAAACAAGTAGAGATGCAGTTTCTACCCTCCAGAGTTAGATGTACATATAAAGGTAAAAAACAGCATGGCAAGAATTCTACATGAGAGGAAGGTGCAAGATGAGATGGCTAAAATGTTGGCACGTCTCTAGTACAAAGTTTCTTCCAAATAGATTTTTAAATGGTACTAGAAATACTCTCAGAGAGGCTAAGGGTCATTGATCTAACAGAATGCTTCCTGAAGCTTCATGAAACAGCAGTAATATGAGAAGCTGACTAGCCAACTGGGCTTAAGTTCCACTTTCTCACAAGTTATACACATTCATGGCCCTGTTTATGCAGGGAGCTGCACAATGAGACTCAGTAACATCCAAGCTGATGTATACATTTCATTTGGGATTTCTAGTTTGTATGCAAAATAGTTGTTAGCTTGCTCTCTCAAATATGGTTGATAATAATAGTAATAAATAAAAATACTTGGCACTTATATATATATATATATATATATGGCACTTCTTATTCATAGCTTTCCAAGCACTTTACAAAGGCAGATAAGGACTATCCTTATTCAATAGATGGGAAACTGAGGCACATAACAACAGAGCGACTTGCCTGCCATCGCATAGGCAGTTAGTGGCAAAGCTAGGAACAGAACTGAGATCTCTTGGCTCTCATTCCTGTGCCCTGTCTTGAAACATCCTGGAGAATCTCAGAGAACTAACAGAGGGAGCAACTGTATGTGGAAAAGGAAGATGAACATGAAAAAATACTTATGAAAAGGAAATAAAAATTGTCCCCTTAAAAAAAGACAGAGCCATTACCTTCCCGAAGCAAGAGGGCCTGTTCCACTTTGCTGTTGGAGGCTGCCAGATCAAGGGCACATTTGAATTCAGCATTTCTGCGTGTCAAGCTAGCGCCATAATCCGTTAACAAGTTGACTGCTTCTGCGCTGGATTTCCTAACTGCAGCATGGAGTGGAGTGTCTAATCGTTTACCCAAGTCAACACTGGCTCCTTAAAAGAACACACACAGAGATAAGAATAGACCAGGGTTAGCATTAGGAGGAAGCAGGGAAACACATCACTGGCTGAGTCTAAGATTTCTACCACACACTTTGGCTTCCATCATTAGCATCAATAAATGAAGTGCACCTGATGGCACACAGGACTTTTCTTCTCTTGATTATAGCAGTGCTCAATATCTAGAAGTCACATGGCTACTATATTAGCCTCAAGAGTAGCAGTAAGATGAGGATGGAGAATCAACAGGAGTTGAGCCAATGCTGAACTTTTTGACTATCAAACGAGTGGGTGTTTAAAATCTAAAGTTGCTTCCATCTGATTAATTCAAATGGCCAGAAAAGCATGTTTGTAACATTTAATTAAAATAACTTTGGAAGGTCCAGGAGTAAAATGCTTATCCTGGGCTGACAGTAGCACCCAAATTGGGCAGAGCCTTAGCTGGTGTCAATCAGCATAGCTGCATTGGCTAAAACAAGCCAGACCACCGAGGTGCTGCCCTGCTGTGTGTGGGATCTTCATGATCACTAAAGGGATTATTCTTTTGAGTGGTTGGTTAGCTGATCTGCTCCCTCTGCATGTGGTGAGCAGTGGATGAGTGAATGCTTAGCATGCTTGGCTATTTATTTTATAATAATCAAAAGGAGTTGATGCAGGTCACAGGGCAAACAATATACCAAGACAGTTCTTTGTAACTTCTCTCATCATCATCTTCGAATGATAGAATCCCCTTTTTTATCCCAATCTCAAAATTCTTGGTCCTCCAAGGAGTCATGAGGAATTAAATGCTAATATCAGGAGCGGGGAGGGATTAAGGAGAAACAATAGGTGGTGGCTTCAAATATGTTCAGCTTCCCCTCCTCTGCCCCCAGAGCACCTAGTTCGAGAAGCTTCTTGACACAGTCTGTCCTCTGATACATGCAGGCCACATAAAGGGGTGTTCCGTGCTGTGAATCTTCTAGGTCAATGTCAACGTCATTGGCTATAAGAATTTCCATACACTCCCTGTGACCTGGATAACACAGAAGAGAGGTCATCTCACCTCAGTTCCTCTCTGCAGGATGCCCGACAAACACATACTATATACATAACATTAGAATAGAATACACAGAACTCTATATAGAATAGTATGGATTAAACCAAACACACATTTATCCCTATGGCCCAGATACTTTAGATGCAGATGAATTTCCCACAATTATTTAGGGAGGAAAAACAAAGCCAGATCTATTTATAGTTAGCTGTACTCAAAGCCTTAAAATTACCTCTCTTTACTGCTTCATGAATAGGTGAAGCAAGGTGATTCTCTAGCTGTGGCATGGCTCCAAATTCAAGCAGCATGTTCACACAAGCTGCACTGCCACTACAGCAGGCATTAAAGAGAGGAGTGATCCCATCAACAGTGACTGCATTGACCTGAAACAGCAAGACAGACAGACAATAATCTGTTTTAAAAGGGACGCACTTCCATTGGAAACCACCCACATCTCAACACTAAATACAGCTTAAGAAGAAGACACTGATTTTATTTAATGTCAGAGCCCATATTAGTCACCAAATTCAGAGTGACACGCTCTAGGAGAGACCATTACCTATCAAGTGCCACCCTGCTTCCCAGGGCGGCAGCAGCAACAGAACTCTGACACTGAAAATTGTACAAGCTCCTACGTAGAGCTGGCTGGAAAATAGGGATTTTTCCCATGGAAAATTTAGACTTTTCATTTAATCCCCCGAAATCGTTTTCAGACATGCAACCCCAACACAGTTGCAGTTTTCTGACCAAATCAAAATCTTGGAAGGAAAGCAAATACTTTGTGAACATTTTTATTTAGTCAAACAGACCTAGAAGTCACGCAGATTAGTAGATTTCACTATCAGCACTGTTGCATGATTCCCAGTTTGTCACAGAGATAAGTGCAGCTCTGCTGAATAAACTGCCTGGGAGGGACTTGTTGCATAATGTGGATCTAGTCACTAGTGTGCTGTATGATAGTACATGGGGGTCTTCACTACAGTTTGCTACAGAATGGGAATTGGAGATCCCAGCTGTCCTTATGGAATATGATGAACAGTTTTATTGCCCTCCCCTTATAATAGAGCAGCCAGATTCACAATGACCCCTGTTTCCAACTCAGTCTCCTTTCAAGCTCTATTTCTACAGTGGAATTAGGGCTGCCTAAAAATTTTCTGTGGAAGGTTTTTTTTTTTTTAACTAATGGAAAATTAGGGGTTTTTTTACTAAAAAAAAAAAAACAACTTAATAGTCAGGTATGCAGCCCTCTAGGAAAAGCTGTGTCACATTCTATTGCCTTTCTGCGGTGTTGTGATCTTTTTAATTTCCTTCCCGACTGAGCCATTAACTCTGGAACAACCTTCCCAATATTCTTTCCTCTATTACCAGATAAGTGGGTACCCAGTTGAGAGGAGAAGCAGAGGGGCTGCTTCTTTGCTAGTGTTTTTGCTGGCATTTCGATGCCTGATTGGCTGAGTTGGCAGTCCAGTATAAAATGCTACCAATCAATTCCCAGTTATTGGAGCAGCTTCAACAACGTCTACATGAGGAGATTATGCAGCTGCACGAATGGGTGCACAGTTTAGCTTTTTTCCAAGATGCTGAATATATCTGTTTGAACTGCATATATTTTAAAAAGAAAAAGGCCATTTTCCAGCTCTCTTCCAGACTGCCCACCTCCTATTTTGGAAACAGTACAGAATGGGGGTTTGTTTGGCTTCTGGGGAAAGGGAGGGCCTGGCGAAAGATGAGGGCCAGAAGGAACACAAGCACAGTCTTGAAGGGAACAATATATCTGAAGGAAGAGATGTTCATCATCTTGAATTCCTAAGTCCTACCAGACTGGTTCCCCATATGTGGTGCAGGGGGATTTGCCCAACATGGTAAAATGAACTCTAATGTGTTTTGAATGGCACCTCACCCAACTGCAGAGCTCTACACCCAGGGAATGGGCTCAATGGCAGAGCCAGGTCTACAATGGGAAAAATCATCATGCTAGGAAACTTGTTAACTACCATGATGTTAAACATGACTTAGCACTTAATGTAAATGAGGACAAGTCGTTTTTAAACACCTGTTAAAATCATAGACCAGCTAATATGTTTTCATCATGACTGTCCTTGTCCACACTAAGGGCAAAGTCATATGGCAAGTTAAAATGAGTTAGTGAATGCATATCTAACATGATGCTTTCCCCCAGCGTAGAGAAAGCCTTGCTGTGCAGCTCCTACATTTTGATGGGTAGCCAATTCATCTTGCAAAAACACTAGCAAAGCCTCTCCACTGGGTACTGACTTATCTGGTAATAGAGGAAGGAATTCTGGGAAGGTTGTTCCAGAGTAAATGGCTTTCTAGTGAAGGAAATGAAAAAGATCACAGTGCTGAAGAAAGGCAACAGAATGGGACACCGCTTCTTGTGTCCGTGACTATTAATTTATGTAAAGAAAAAGCCACTGACTAACTGAGACTGTATGTAGCAATGAAGAATGGGAAAAGTTGAACAATAAGGATGATTTACTGACAGTGACAGTTGATAGTTCAGATTTATGACTTTCTAGGTGCTAAAAAGATATGTGATCAATACACTTCAATTTTTTTTAAACTGGGTAATTTCAAAAACAACCTGAAACTGAGTAATATGAAGAGCAAGGTTTGTTTTTCCTGTCTAGGGGCTTAAAAGTTAATGTACAGTATAGTTATTCTATAATCATAATTCTTCTCTGCTAATGAATACATCAGTTGTTGGACTCCACTTTTTTGAATTCTTGCCACTCCACATGTAAATTGTTCAGCATAGTAATCAGGGGAACCTGTAAGCAGACCCAATATAATAAATTCCCATATATTTCTTTATATTCCCATATTTCATTTTTAAAGATATTTTTATATTAGGTCCAATGTGGAGAAAAGCTACTCTTTTATTAGACAAAATGTTTCATTTCTTAAGCCCCTTTATGTATAAATCACAAACTATCTCAAAAAACTTGGAGCAATTCCAGTGACCATTCTGGAAAGCAAAGCACAAATCATCATCATAACAGTTAGTTTGGTCTAATTTTCCTAATTTTTTCCCACTGATCACAGTGAAGTTTCACAGAAGAAAAACAAAGAGGAATATGTCTGTGATCAAAACAGCCACGAAGCTGTAAAAAGGTGGGGTCCTTCAGGAAAAAAGCTACCACTACAGAAATGTAAGTAATTTACTATTAGTGAAAGCAAAATATTGTCCCCTTTTGTGGCCAGATGTTCTCTCTCTCTCTCACACACACACACACACACACACACACACACACACACTTGGCCTCGTTTATATGCCCGTACTCACTTGAGTGCCGTTCTCCAGTAAGACTTTCGCACAAGCGACATGGCCACCCAGGCAGGCCTCGTGGAGAGCAGAAACCCGATCTATGGTTACAATGTTCACATTGAATCCCTAGAAATCAGAGCAGAGATGTGAAAAACAAACAAACACCAAGCAATGCAAACATAATTCCTGGAGTTCATTCTAGGCGGGAGTTACATAGCGGTCAAATCTACAGTCCTTGCTCTGGCTAAATTCCTACCGAAGTCAATGAGAGTTGCCCTGGAATACGCATGGCTCAGACAATCACTCTGATACTGCAGCTCTTGCATCCATTGCCACTGGAAGGAATTTAAAGCAAAAGGTAAAGAAACTAAGTGACGCTTATCTGTCTTGCTTCATAATTCATGGTAAATTGCAGGAGAGACACTGTACAACTTTGGCCTCTAGTGACTGAGATTAATTTCCCTATTCCCAGATATGAAAAGGTGCCTGTGATATGTCATAAACTACATTTTTTATCCGCAAAATGAGCACTCTGACCAGGAGTGTGATTTGTTTCCTGAGTCACATGGTACTGTTTCTTCTCCCTGGTTGTTTATCAACCTAATTAAACAGGAGTAAAGAATACTGAATAGCAAATACACTTTATATGTGTTCCATTAACAGCTGTATGAACTGAACCAGCCACGCAAACATTCACAGGGGGAAAAGCAGTGTAAATATGGCTGGATCCAAACATGACTGGGACTTTGTTGTACGTTTTCCAGCCTATAGCTCCATCAAATGACAAGTAAGAATTCAAGCACATGTACATTGGAAATCAGTTCTACTGGAAAATAATTCAAACTCTGACATTCCAAATGCAGCATCTGTAAGTATATCATGCTAGGTTCTAGATGCTTCCCGCCCCGCCACCCTCAAGCAGTTCACAAGATGGTGGTGGTGTTTTTTCTTTGTAGCAGCAAATATTACCCATGGGAATAAATATTTCTGGGCAATTCAGTGCTGCGAAAGTAGCCAGCCACAACCAACTGACACGATGAACATTAAAAACAGTTGCAATACCCTCTAGCTCAACAATTTAAACTAGAAGAAGTGAATATTTTTAAATAAACAATTATCTTAAAATTAAAAGCTTTGCTGGCTCATGTCCATATGAGGGAAACATGTAAGAGAATTAACATGAAGCCCAATATTCCTTTTGCACCTGACGTGACCTTCCTAAGATTCCTCCATTTTATAGCTTTACAGTAGCAGTGCATTCACTGCACAATATATGCCCCCCCCCATAGAAGGAAAGCTGCTGTACAAATCCTTTGTGTGAAGAAAGGAAATGGAGGCAGTGATACAGCAGTACAGCAATATACCGGAGTTGGATATATATGCCTAACACATGAAACACAGTAATCCAGTGAAAGAAAAAATACCTCATCTATTGAAAACTGGAGTAATCCATTTCATCAGTAAACAAATGCTTAAACTAAGAACTAGTAGCCCTGACTTTAGATAATGGTGTCCAGCACTTCCCATTAGAAGAACCAGTTGCTCATAACTTTGCCAAACTTCTTTGAAAATCCAGCCACTTATTTAGGTGCCTCAACAAGAACTGGGTGGGAGCTGAACTCTTGAAAATCTGCCCCTTAGTTTCCCAGCCTTGACGGGTAGGAGTTTTTAAAGCACCTAAGTGATTTAGTTGCACAAGTTCCATTGACTTTCCATGGCACTTGTGGTCCTAGGTCAGTAAGATCATCTTTGAAACCACATCTTAAAATAAAAAGTGTTTGGATTTCTTTTAAAGTAAAGATACCTGTTTCATTTGAGCATAAAGGCGAACAGTATAGGCAGCTTGACAACAGTGAGCAATGCCTATGCTATAGCATGTGCAGCTTTACCCCATAATTCATCTTGCTGCTGTGGATCAACTCCATCCTGCTCCCTTCAATGGTTACTCCCTTGACTTTGGCTTTACCAACTGGGAGTCCAGTCCTGCATTGCTGAAATCAATGGCTTCAAAGCGTGCAGAATCAGACTGTAGATGCAACCATAGATTTTTTTTAAAAGGTAATTCTGTGATTTTAGTTATAACTCTTGTTCTCCTTTCCTTCCATCATCCCTATTCTGTTATAACTTGCAATACCTTAGCTTAGGTTGTAAAGTTCTGCAAATCAGGTACTGTGACTTTTCTATATTCTGCAAAGTACCTAGAACACTTCAAGTACTACAAGTATTATGATGCACCAGGGACTAGGCAATGCGGATCCTGTTCTATTCAGGTTCTGGCACTTCACCCATCTCTGTAGTATTTGAGTAGCTTCCAATGACGCATCAAGCCATGTGCTTCGCATCAGTCATGGGCTGTTCTTTCTCCATTCCTCCCCCCAGGAAGAAAATTGTGTTTGTTTTAAATTTGAAGTTGGAGGGTTGGTAAAGAATGATCAAGAACTAAGAGCAATGTAGAAGTTCCCATTTGGGCTGGAGCCTGGGCTCTGGGACCTTCTCCCCTTGCAGGCTTTCAGAGCTTGAGCTCCTGCCTGAGCCCAGACATCCACACTATTTGCAGCCCTTCAGCCTGTGCCTCGCAGGTCTGAGTCCACTGACCCAAGCTCGGAGACTTAGCACCACAGGTTTTTCTCTGCAGCGTAGACATACCCTTAAATCCCGGTTATAGCAAACACTGAGAGACACAAAAGAGGCTAATAGCAAGCAAAGGCCAGTTGATCAATCTCTGTTAACTGCCCAATTTGTCTCTTACAGGGTCTTATCTCAGTAGCATAGGACAGTGACCCTAACCTGTGGCTCACGTTGACTGAGTTTATGTCCCATCTTTTTCTGGAATCACCAAGGCTTGTTAGCCTAAGTGACTTCAGCGAATGTTTACGACTGTTCTAAATTAACTCAGGATCTCATGGCCACCACAACAGCAAATAGCAATGGGACTATTAGTTTCAGGCTCAGTGTATGGATGGAAAAACTCTGGATCTCATTTTTGGGTCAGCATTGGTTACTGAGGGATGTGAGGATGACACATTTATTATGGCCAGACCATTTCCTCTTTCAGACTGGTAACAGAGCTAACTTTTGATCCCACCTGAGAGAGTGGACCCATTTCTGCTTTTCAAGATTAATGGAACTTGGGTTTCAGAGTTCTCTTTCTCAAGAAAGAAAGAAAGACGATTGTAAAAATGGTGGGCTGACTGGGAAACAAAATGGCAGATGAAATTCGATATTGATAAATGCAAAGTAATTCACATTGGAAAACATAATTCCAACTATACATATAAAATGATGAGGTCTAAATTAGCTGTTACCACTCAAGAAAGAGATCTTGGAGTCATTGTGGATAGTTCTCTGAAAACATCCACTCAATGTGCAGCGGCAGTCAAAAAAGAAAACAGAACGATGGGAATCATTAGGAAAGGGATAGATAATAAGACAGAAAATATCATACTGCCTCTATATAAATCCATGATATGCCCACATCTTGAATACTGCATGCAGATGTGGTCGCACCGTCTCAGAAAAGATATATTGGAATTGGAAAAGGTACAGAAAAGGGCAACAAAAATTATTAGGAATATGGAACGGCTTCCATCGGAGGAGAGATTAATAAGACTGGGACTTTTCGGCTTAGAAAAGAGATGACTAAGGGGGGATATGATAGATGTCTATGAAATCATGCCTGGTGTGGAGAAAGTAAATAAGAGTGTTATTTACTCCTTCTTATAACACAAGAACTGGGGGCCACCAAATGAAATTAATAGGCAGCAGGTTTAAAACAAACAAAAGGAAGTATTCCTTCACACAATGCACAGTCAATCTGTGGAACTCTTTGCCAGAGGATGTTGTGAAGGCCAAGACTATAACAGGGTTCAAAAAAGAACTCAATAAGTTCCTGGAGGATAGGTCCATCAGTGGCTATTAGCAAGGATAGGCAGGGATGGTGTCCCTTGCCTCTGTTTGCCAAAAGCTGGGAATGGGCGACAGGGGATGGATCACTTGATGATTACCTGTTCTGTTTATTCCCCCTGGGGCACCTGGCACTGGCCACTGTCAGAAGACAGGATACTGGGTTAGATGGACCTTTGGTCTGACCCAATATGGCTGCTTTTATGGGCTGTTCTATGGAGTAGTCTGTAGTAAATTAAGGCCATCTTTTGTCCTTGACAGTTGGTACAGTGGCCCCTGAGCATCCCCTATTTTCTACTTTCCATAGAAATCACAGAGAGATATCTTGTAACATATCAGAGGCCTGAAATACATTAGCTCACAGGCAGGATCTGGCTTCCTAAAAGTATTTATATGACAAATTCCGATTCCTCAGAATTCAACCATTCATTGAAAGAAAAGTTTTGAGACTTTATGACAGTGAAAAAACCCTTCCAAATATGAATTGAGTGTAACTGATGCAGAGTTATCTTCCTAAATCTATAGACATCCTGAAAGAACAGCTCTAAGCAAGGTGAACTCCTTCAGCAAAACCGAGAGCTAAGTCTAAGCCTTATGGTGAGAATTTACAAAATAGTTTTTCAAATAACTTAAGCTTGCAATTTGTACAGTCACCACAAGAGAGTATCTGTGCATATATGCATACAAATTGAACAAATGCATGTAAATGATCAAACAAAAGACAGAAAAAGCAATGACCCTGAAGGCATCTTGCATCATTTTTCTCAGTGCGTGATGCTGAATGAAATTACTTTAGTTAAGGTATTAAGAGTTTAGTTACTGCATCATGGTCATGTTTTACCCTTCATCTTTGTAAATACCACTATTGTTTTGTTGTGGATCGATGGTGGGATATGGCCCTAACTTTGTTGCCCTGACCCATAAACCATAATTCAAAATGTCTTATGGCCCTTCTCACAGAAAGAGTTGGACAACCCTCTGATAAATAAAGACTGAAGAGAGGAATCTTGAGCAGCAGTGGCTGATGTCACACTTTGGCAATGTCTACACTTTGAGCAAGGGGTGATTCCCAGCTTGTGTAGACATTCTCATGCTAGCTTGATGCGAGATAGTGCAAGTATAAACAGTATAGCCACAGTAGCACAGGCAGAGTACATATCCATGGGGTTCGAGCTGGTTTGAATTTGGCTCAGCTAAGCCAGGCCACCGCTACCACTTCCCATGCTACACTGCTATTTATACAAAGACTAGTTCTTTTCAAACTACCATGAGTATGTGGTAGTGAGCAGGGAATCACAGCACCTGGAATGTAGACACAGCCTTTGACTCTGATAGATCATAATACAAAGAATTTTTGAAACCTACTGCTATGCAGAAAAAGAAAAATTTCTCTTCTTCCACTACAACATCCACTAAGTCCCAAAGACCAGCACAATTAATCTAAGTCATGACCAAGACAGTGAACACTGGCTGCCTTTGCTAAAAGATTTTAAATGTTTCCCACTGCTTGGAATCCTACATCTGTGTTATGACAAAATAGACTGCGCTTGGACTCAATGGACCATCTCCTTGGTAGCAGATCATTTTCAGGAAGGAAGAACCAATGTGGTATCCTTCCAGGTTGCATTCTGGCTAATTGTTCTCCTAGAGTTTCTAATTATAATCTGCTCCTTTGACCTTATGCACTAGCCCCTTCCTCCTCTTGTTCTCCTCGATCCTTCTTTCCTCCCCACTTTCATCCCTTTAGATCTGTGGCTTCAGTGGGTGTGGAGGGCATACAGCACCTCACAGGACTGGGCCCCCACCTTGTAAGCTTCTCTGCGGCAGGGAACACATCTGGCTCTGTTTTATAAGGCAACGTGCACATTTGCAGCCTTACAGAAGTGTAATACCTGATCATTAATACCTGAGAAATAATATTGGTATCTTTATGTTCAAATCCTATGAAGCCCGTTTGTATTGTTTGCCTTTGAAAAGGAACCAAAAGATCATGTTTGCTTATTATAATTCAGTGTGATCTGTGGCCTTTGTTTTGAGTTTATCCCCAACATTTAATATGACGAAATGTGTCCAGTATATCTTTTTATTTAGAACCCTAACTCTATGTCTTTGAGCGTCCACTGTAATCTATGACATCATTCGTGGATAAGATCTAACCAAAAAAATCCTGAGGCCTAACCTTTTATTTATTTATTTTTGGTTTCTTACCTGCGCAATCAATGTTTTCAAAGATAGCAGGCGCCCTTGGAATGCAGCTTCATGAAGAGGCGATCGATCTGCCCATGAACCTAAAACAGCCCAAGAGTTCATTCAAAGGCATTGCAAAGGCACAGAGACACCAAGATACAAACAGTTCCAAAAAAATCGCAAGAGAAATTATTACACACATCCCCCCCTTGTCTGCTTGGGAGGACTGATCAAGCTGTGTCAGTGTGTAAAATGTACCCTTGGCCTGAAACCAACAAAGTGAGATTGCCTACGAAAATTCATTTCAGTGGGAACTGCTGCACACCCAGCTTTTCTGAAAATTAGGCCACTTATTTAGAACGTAAGTAAAGCCTTATCGGAGGGATCTTTAAAAACACCTAAGTGAGTTAGGAGTACAATGTCATTGAGACTCTCTGGGACAATTTTCAAAATCCCGCACCTTTTTGTTTGTTTGTTTGTTTGTTTTTAAGTTATCCTGGCCACAGGCTTTACTGGGTAACTTACATTTTGTAACAAATTGCTCTGTGGGGTTTTTTTCCACTTAGTTATGAGATGTATTGCATGCAAACACTGGCTTAGCTTTGGACATGTCCATCAAGCCAATTCTAATATGTCCCCAGCAATTTTTTTCTCTTAAAGTAATACATCTAATAGGTACTATAAATGTGTCTACCTTTCCCTCTTATGCACATTAGCGGATAATAGTATTTTTTTTCTCTTCCTCACTTGATGATTTCAGAGGAACATGAAAAAATACAGTCTGCCAGGTGCTTGATTCCTGCTTTTCTACATCATTTTGAACAGTTTAACTCCAACAAACTCCACAATGCTGGCTAGTTTGTCTTAGTTTGTCTGTGTGTCTATTTTTGGACCCACTGCAATAGAGCTGCTACCAACAGATTTATACATATTCAGCCCAACAGATCATTAAGACAGTTATTTAGCTAGAGTGATTCAGGCAGAGAGAATTTACTAGCCATAGTTTAGCACCTAAAACCAAACTGCCTCACAATTAGAGCTGGCAGAAATCTCAGATTTGTGGGAAATTTGGGCATTTTGAAATTTGGTTTCAGTCCAATTCTCACCAAAAACAATTTTTTTCCATATTTCCCAATCTAGTCCCTGCCTGCCCACCCAGAGCTGTCTCTCATCTCATCCGCTCTGCATTTCAATCAGGTAGCTTCCCCCTCCATGCTGCCTGAGCCCAGCAGAAGGCCCCGAAGGGTATGTCTACACTGCAATTAGACACCTGTGGCTGGCCTGTGCCAGCTGACTCAGGCTTGCAGGGCTCCCGCTAAGCGGCTATATTGCAGTGTAGACGTTGAGCTTGGGCTGCAGCCTGAGCTCTGGGACCCTCCCACCTCACAGGGTCCTAGAGCTCGGGCTCCAGCCTGAGCCCAAATGTCTACAGTGCAATTAAACAGCCCCTCAGCCTGAGCCCTTTGAGCCCAAGTCAGCTGGCACAAGCCAGCCATAGATTTTTAATTGCAAAGTAGACATACCCATTGAGCACAGAAGAGACAAGCTCCCTACCCTCAGTTTCAGTCATCAGTCCCAACCGAGTCTGCAGCAGCATAGGGCTATAATTGCAGGGAAAGTCCTGCTTAACTCTGGCCTGGAGCATACCCAGGGCACACAGAATCTTTGCAGTTTTTTAACTACCAGTAATAAGCTCTAGCAAGTCTTCTGAGCATATAAGAACTGTGATTTTTCAAAGGCTACAACAGGCCAAATTTGGGCAGATATTCACAGGAATGGCAAAAAGATACAAAGGACCATCCTGCCAGATTGCAAGTCCTTGCTCTAAAGTGTGGGAGCACTAGTTCTTCTCAAATAAAAGGCCACCCGAATTTTTGAACGCAGGAGGAACAATGGATTTTTCCCTAGCCTTGTTCTGAGAAAATGCTGAAACATTTTGGCTGAAAGTTATATATGTATATATACACATATTCTATTCAGCCTGAGGCAGACACCTGACATGGAAAATTTCAGTCTGAACAGTTAAAACTTTGGCAAAGTTATATAATGGGAAGCATCCAGCAACCTTAATAATAGACGGTGCTTCCACCCCCACCTCTAATTAACCTCACACACACACACACTGTGCCGCATATACAAACATTTCACACACATATATGCTGTATGTATATATTTACACACTTCATGTTGCATAAAGCAGGCACACTTCTCACCATGAGAATGCACACACATATTTCCATGCCAACTACAGCAACATACCTCCCTGAAACATGTGGCAAATGTAGTTCCCATAAGGGGCATCTCTTAACTCCCCGGTTACCAAAGGCATGTCTGAAATTTCATGTCCTTTCTAAATTTCTACAGATAATTTAAGCCACTCTGCTGCTGCTTCTCTCCACATTGCTTTACTTTAGGCTGTGACACTGCATCTGTAATCCAATCTAGTGTTCAGGCAACAACATCACATGACCTTGTGTTTTGAAAGATTATCCTTGATGGATAGTTGCAAATGGCAACTTGCAGATAAAAATATGTTGTAGTCCTGGTAACCTTGTATGCACTTAGATAAAGAATCTGTATACGGGGGGAGGGGGAGCCAATGATCAAATATTTCACTAAATTTAAATTAAGGCATATGTAATAAGTGCTTTGTCAATAAATTAACAGCACTCTTTTCTAATAAACTGTAAGATAATTCTAACACATTGCAGAGATGGGGATAAATAACTATTTATTCTGCTTTATACGAGCTTGGTAAGAAGTTGCTGTAGCTTCACTTTGGCCCAGATTCTGATACTCTTACAATGAGCTGTCATCTTACACTGCAAATAGTTCCACTCGCTTCCATAGGACCACTCACAGAGTAAGGCACTATACATCGTGAATCAGAGTCTAGCCCCTAGTAAGAATGATGTCACTAAATCGTGTGTCTTTATGATTTAATTAGGAAATCAATTACTGGTTAGCAGTTATTTTTAAAGCCCTTACACGCTCTAATTAGAAGTGTTACTTTTGTGTTAATTCCTATCAATGCACTATTGTGGCAAATGTGTTTTAAGTCTGGAGAAAAACTACTTGGAAAGAAACAAATAGGAAAATGATTCTTTGGAGGCCCATTACGTATAGTCATTTCCATACTTTTGGTTGCACAGGAATTTTAGCTATGCTTTTTTTTATGGTCTGGTTCAAAAGAACAGGGATGCCAGACTTAGATCCAGTCAGGCATTAATTACACCCTTCCTGGTATCTTCCTTCAAAAAACCCACAGTCTACACCTCTTCCTTAAATGCTCTCTGGTTGTAAACTAGGATACATAGTAAAACCCCTTGTCACTCACACAGTTGACTCTGACACATGCTTTGCTTTCCAAAGCAAATGTCTTTATTTCCTTTATTATTATTCTGTACTTACTATACTTAAACAAGTGTTGTTCACAGTCAAGCTGTCTAACTGTTAGAGAGTCTCATATTTTGCACACCTAGAACATGCCAACCCACATTGCTTTTGCAAAGACTTCAGAAGTGGAATGCACTTGTGGCCAGAACAAAACATCCATTTTACACATTTATCAATCGCCTCCTCATCCTATAGCAACACAATGATTAAAATCTAATTTCTCAAGGCATAAAACATTTTACCTGGTGCTATTCCATAGATCTCTTCTGCTATCCTGGCAGCCTCTTTTCTGTTGCCTTTAACAATATAGAAGTGGGTCAGCAGAGCCAAAGAAATCTTAATTAAAAGCTTGAAGCAAAATAAAGCAAAGATTGCAAAATAGATGTTGTTAAAAGCATGGAGTATAGAATTGCCCTCCATTTTGGCTTGCTCTTTGTAGTTTCCCAGGTCTGCTAAGTTTCACCAGGCTATAATTGGTATCATATGACATCTATTTTCAACCCTCCAGCACTTGCTGTTTCTCAGTTACCAAAAATACATTCCATTTTTATTCTGGGGCAGCCACTGATGTTGAATAACAATGCTGGGTATTAAATCATTTCATGGTTTTATTGGGCTGTAATTATATGTCAAGTACTGACATTTTTCCATTTCTGGGTGACAGAAAACACTATGTGAATATTCACTGTAACTACCATAACACACACTGAAGAAAGTGAAACAATGTTTTTCATAATGTATAGGTGTAATATTTGAAAATTAGAGATGTTATCTCTCTGCGTTTGGGTTAACTTTTCTTTTCCTGAGAGGCACGTGGCTCCTATACAGACCAAAGCACTTTGGCAGCACAATCCTCCCATTATTTAAGTTCCTCTTAAAAACCACATCTCCCAGAAGTCCAAGAAATGAGTTTATGATGCAAAAACCCAAAGCCATTAAGCCAACCAACCCTCCCCTTCACGATGTCCCAGTGCTTTCCAATTTATGTGTCTGTGGTAGGGTCCAATCCTGCAAAGGGATCTGCATGGGCAGGCAGGACTTTATGCTGGCTCAAAGTCCCAATCAATCTCCTTGGGGGTAGGGGAATATGTGTGTGTGTACTCTACATCCCCACACACTTTGTCAGCACTAAACAAATAAATAACATCTGGGGGCAGGGAATAGTCTAGAAACGAGAAAGGAACCATCTCACTCCTTCTTGCAAGTCCACCTGCAGCCCAAATGCAGAGAAAGACTGTAGCCTTCAGTGAACTTTGACCTCAAGGGTCATACCAGCTGTGGAGAAAGACCTCTTTTCTTAAAGATACCTCATAGTTGGACATGTGGAACAAAATATTATAATGAATTATTTCCCGGACAACTTCAAGTGCAATTATTTGGTTTCCCTCTTGTCCTCCCAACCCTCCAGCATTCCAACTATCCCCATGTCACTCTTCAGCACCTCAGTCTCTCAGCTACGATTGAAACAAATACAGGTACTTGCCCATTGGTGTTCAGATCCCAGTGACTAGCACCTTGTACAGTGACTGCTTAGACAGACTGATAAAAGGGGAGGAGAAAAGAAAAACTGTTTGGTGAAAGAAAAAGCACAATTCACATGAATCAGTCTGTCACCTTTCAAGCTAACTGTGATACTGTAAAGAAGTTTAATATGCGCCACATTTTAATAAGAAAGGAAGTGTTTATGCACACCACTTGCTTTCCCACTCACAAGTGCATAACTATTGCAATTGTTCACCTGGATAAGTAGAATAATGGATTTTTAGCTGATTTAATGCAGTTTAGCAAATGAAAATAAGGGGAAGAACCAGTATCATGTGACCAGCCAGCTCTCCACAGACCAGTGTCTGAGAACTGCTGCAACAAAGAAAAGAAACAATTACTTACTGTAACTGTGGTTCTTCGAGATGTGATGCAGATGTGTATTCCACTTAGGTAGGTGCACACCCAGCGCACCGGCGCCAGAGAATTTTCCTAGCAATACCTGTAGAGGGGCGGCACCCACGCCTCCTGGCCATAACCCCTCCCCAGGCTATATGAGATGGCACTGCCTCAACGGCCCTCAGTTCCTTCACACCAAACACCCAGTCAGAGACCGAATTCTGATGTAGAAGGGACAGAAGGTGGGTCAGTGTGCCACTGCACCCCATATTCTTCATAACTGTATGATTGTGATATGATTATAACATAATTATGATGCATCTAGTATAAGATGCAACAGAGGGTTCTGTGGCACCTTTAAAACTAACAGAAGTACTGGGAGCATAAGCTTTCGTGGGTAAGAACCTCACTTCTTCAGATGCAAGA